ATATCTTTCAGAAAAGTCCTCTCTTCATCAAAGGAACAATTAAGAAATACACTGGGTGCTGTGTTATCAAAATTGAGTCCTTTACATCTCTGAGCACCCAGAGAGATCAGAATAATACCTTTCTGACTCTTCTAAGAATATCTCTTAGGACTTTCCTCACAATCTTCAAGATCAAGGAAGAAAAATGAGTATATTTTCTGTTGTGAAAACTACACTCTCCCCACCTTTCCAAGGGCTAGGATAAGAAAATACCCAGAATGCACCCCTGCAAGTTGCCATTAATATCTTCCTCCTCGTTAGCTCCAGGCCAGGGTATAACCACAGCTTTTCCTGCTCCTTCCCATGTTCTTTCCTATGACTTCAAATTAACAAATTGGTTCCAGGAAACCCTCCAAACCCTCTGTGGCAGTCCAGAGCTAATTGTGCTATATCAATTTTGGAACTTTTTTTTTAAAGATTTTATTTATTTATTTGACAGAGAGAGACACAGCGAGAGAGGGAACACAAGCATGGGGGAGTGGGAGAGGGAGAAGCAGGCTTCCTGCCGAGCAAGGACCCTGATGCGGGGCTCGATCCCAGGACCCTGGGTATGATGACCTGAGCCGAAAGCAGACGTTTAACAACTGAGCCACCCAGGTGCCCCAATTTTTGAACATTTTTGATGGTTTTTAGCATATATATTAATCCAAATTAAATACTTGGCAAAACCAGGTTGAAGGACAATTCATTTTGTTGTGAGTAGAAGAGCAATAAACCTACAGCCCTGGTAAAACTCAAGCACTACTTTTTGAAGAGATTAAATAGACAAAGGCCAAAGTTTTCCATGTGGGTTTATGTCCTCAGCTAAGGTACAGTTGACAGGATAAACATAGATTAGTTAACCATTATTTCCTTATTATCATTATCTGCTAGAATTTATTAACAAGATTATTGAGTGAAGTGTGCAAAAGAAGACCAAATAAGAATGTAAGAAGATATTATTAACCCACCAGCACTAGGGCATGGATTCTTATTAGTGGGTGTGGATTCCCACTGAACTCACCCCATATCCTATCCCAGCCTCCCTAATTACCATCCTCACACATCTGTGAATTGACTGGCTAAGATTAAGGTATAATCATAGTACACTGGTTCAGATGAACTTCTGACCAAAACTCTGGTGCACTGGAAGTGTGATATAATATTCCAAACATTTCAAATGTAACCATTTCAACTTTTGCCAACCTTTGTTAAGCCTTAACTTTTTTTTTTTTTTTTTGAGAGAGAGAGAGAGAGAGCACAAGTAGGGTTGGGAGACAAAGGGAGGGGGGCAAAAGAGAATCTTAAGCAAGCTCCATGCTCTATGGGGAGCCCGACATAAGGTTTGATCTCATGACCTGAGATCATGACCTGATCTGAAATCAAGAGTCGGATGCTTAACTGACTGATCCACCCAGTCACCCTCAAAGCCTTAACTTGTTAATGTTAGTGCTCATCCTTAGACACAAACCGGACCACCCTCCTGGCTTCCTAGGGGGAGTTATGGTGTGGATGACAAAAGACTACTCCGTACTATGAGAGAAAAGGTAAATGTGTAGGGATTAAAGGAAAGAGAGATAAATTCGAAATAGGAGTCTTGGCCAGTTTCCAAGAGGAGATGGGGTAAGGAGCACCGCCAAGTCTTTTGTAGACATTGATGCATTCATTCCTTAAGTATTTCATGCGCTCCTGTGCTGGTTGCAGGGGACACAGTGGTGAGCAAGGTGGGCCAGATCTCTTCATCCACAGAGTTTAGAATAAAGTGGGGGAGACAGTCCTTAATCCGATGACCCCACACATATGTGTATAATTACACACTGTGAACCTTTTAGTACCAGAGCTGACGGTGTTTAATGCGACCCGATATATGGAAGCAGGGAAAGCTCTCGGGGAAGGGAGTGTGGAAGGCTTCCCTGAGAAGTGATTTTGGAGTGAGATCTGGAGGATGAGTGGCAGTTACACAACCATGTGCAGCTAGCTGGCAGACAAGCTGGGCAAGGTACTGCTGGTGAAGACTGCAGAAGGAGAAGTCACGGAGGGCCATCAAATGAAGAGCCTGTGTGCCCAGAGCACAGCGAGATGGGACAAAGATCAGCAGCAGAGATTGCAGCGTTCATCCAGGGAAAGACACTCCCCTGGCAGGAGTAAAAGGTGCAGAGCATGAATCAGATTAAACCGGAAATCATGATTGAAATCCTTCACATCCTGGAAGAAAATGCAAAGCAAGTTAGAGAGTTTGAACGGTAGTCTATAGGTAACAAGAAATCATAGGCACCTAGTGATGGGGTCAGACCTGTTTAAGAATGAGTGTTCTAAAAGCAATATTAACATGGATTTTGGTGAAATGACCAAGTGGAAGGAAGGCATAATAATTAGGGGGGAATTGTAACAGCCAAGTGAGAGGGAGCAAAGTCTTGAACTAGGGTAGTGGGAACCAGAAGAGCTAAAGGGCTACAGAGACATTGTGAAATAGAATCCACAAATCTGGGGTGAATTACATGTGGATGTGAAGGGGGCTGGAGCAGAGAGAGAAGGAAGAAGTTCTTAAATGATGGAAACGTTTTGAACCTAAACATTTTGAAGGAGACACCAATGTTAGTTTAGGAATAAGAAGAGTCAGAGGATTTGGGGATGTGAGATTTGTTTCAGATATGCTAGAATGACCTCTGCGGCAGACAAATAGTTAATTCTGATAACCTAGAGTTCTTCAAAGGCTGTGTTTAGAAATAAAGGTAGGCAAGTCAGTCAACCAACAATATTTACTAGGTGCCTATTATGTGCCAGGCATTATTTTATACACTAAAGATAGAATTCAAAATTAATTTAATTCCTGCCTTCATGGAATATGACTTGTATATAAAAGGTAGTTTGCCAAAAAAAAAAAAAGAAAGAAAGAAAGAAAAGAACCCAAAGGTCACATGATTAACCCCCAAAACAAACTATAAACAAGTGGCAGATGAATGAGACAGCATTTCAAAGAATTGTCCATTATCTGGCATCAAATTTGTGAAGTATAGCATTGTGAAGGTTAAGGCTCTGCTCTTAGGAGAGACATTACAATGCAAATTCAAATCACCAACTCTCATCAAAGGGGAGGTAGACTTTAAAAGCTCCTTGTGAATTTCATCCAAGAATTTAGAGGACACAGCAAAGGACAGGATAAGTAATAGATTCTTATTCTCTGGGAAAGAGAAAGAAGGTCCGGGGAAAGCCCACGAGCAAAGACACTTAAACATCTTGCCCCTTCATCAACACGCAGAGTATGTACTGAATTTCAGGAAAAAAATAAATCTTTGCCATTTTTACTTCCAAACTGGTGCCAAACCCATCTCGTGTTGCAGCTGCAGGAATGATAAGGCTCTCAGGGCGTATCATTGTTGGAAATAAGTAGATAATGGACAAAGTATAATATAGTAACAGAAATTATCTTCAGAAGGAATGAACAGCAAAGGATCTTTAAGGGCTCAGATAAAAAAATCTGAAAACAAAAATAAGATAAATAAATTCAATTAAGTTAAAGGCTGAAACCAAACAAATATATCTACACACAGATATCTACATCTACATCTGTTGGTACAGATATAGATATGTAAGGATTAGATAGATAGATAAATAAAGTATGTATAAAATTGAGCCAAGATATTAAAAAAATTAAGTAGGAGATTACAACTAAAATGTAAAATGTCTATAATCATTCAGCTTATTAAAAATCTGGTCTATTGAACTAGTTGATGCTGAAGGTCCTTGAAAGAGTAAATGTGAGAGAAGAACTAAGAAAATGGTGAAAAACAATTTTAATGGGGGTTTCTTAACTAGTTATCAAGATTACTTTAAATCTATAATAACTAAAGTGCAGATTAAGCAAGCACATCAAAGAAATAAAAGAGTCCAAATAGAGACCCAAGTATGAGATTTCAGTAAATGAAAAAGGTTCATTTCAGACCAGTTGTAAGAATTGATCAGTTGCCTACATAAATGGTGTCAGAATAATAAGCAGCCCGTTTAGAAAAAATAAAGTATGATCTCCAAAGAAAAGGATAATCTTCGCTTCACTGATTTGGCCCCAAGAAATTTTTCACTCTGGTTTTATCAATTCAAACAATTTTTAATATCATAATTTTACCAACACTGATGAATTTTCCTTGAGAAACATTCTGGAATTAAACTATTTTTATTTTCCCTTGACCAATTGGCTAGATAGCATAATGAAAATATTCCTCTAATCATCATCATTTCCATACCAAAATTATTTTCACTGAGACCAAGTTTTTTTAATGTAAATCTTATATAGCAAATTGTTCTATCCTTAGAAAATCTTACCAAGTAAAGCTTCTGCAACTCTTAGTTTTCTCCTATGACCATTGTTCTTATCAAGTCAAATTTTTTCCCAAGTCAAATACTGCAGATATAAATTTGTCAAAAAGATTTATTTTCCTGGAAGTAACTAGTTAATAACTTATTTTACCATGTGCACTTGTAACTGTCAGCCTTAATTTGTGTTGATTACATATTGGTGGGGTCGAAACATCCTACATCAGATTCCTACCTCACAATTCACACAGAAATAAATTCCAGATGGATTAAAAATTGTCCAATAAGCACAAATAACAAAGTATTAGAAAAAACACAGCAGACCATACATACATACATATGTGTGTGTGTGTGTGTGTGTGTGTGTGTGTGTGTATAAAACACTGGAGCAAAAAAAGCCTTTCTATGCATAACCCAAAAATCTGAAGCCATAAAATAAGTTTGACTCCCTTTACCCATCCCAGCTGAGCCAGAACACTAGCATTTTTCAACTGTTCCATGGAGGTTGATATAGGGTCCTAAGAGTCAGGGTCTCTTGCCATGGGAGGGGGTAGGTAAGTAAGGGGGTGATTAATAACAGATGTAGGTGCGGACAGTGGATATTCAAAGGTCTGTGGAAGATATATGTGGGATTGGAGTTTTTCATTATTTTCAAGTATTTTTATCATTACCAATATAGGACATCGACACAGTTAAAAATCTAAAACAATCCGACAAGTTTAGCATAAAGTAAAAGCATGCATTACCCCTAAATCTACTTACAGGGAGAACGATTGTTGATAATTCGATGAATATCATTCCAGGTCTTTTTTCCAGTCGTTCCTCTTTTTACTTATTGTCCTTAGGTCCTGGACCCGCAAACTGGAAGTCTAGTTGGGTCGTGTGTGTGTGTGTGTGTGTGTGTGTGTGTCTGTGTGTGTGTATGTATCTATGTATATGTACCTATATATGTGCATGTATACATATATGCACACACAACACACTCTCAGACATCATCTCTCAGACATATTTTTTAAATGAAGTCGTAACTTACAAGAGTTGGATTATCTGGTTTCATGGATTTACATACCATCTGTACATATCTGGATGCACTTCAAGAAGAGATGGAAGAAAGGAAGGAATTGAGACACACTCACCAGTGAGTAGAGATTACTACTACACTGGAACTTTTACAACTTTTTTTTTTTTACTCTTTTTTCTCTTTGATATAAAAGAAATACATGTTCCCCTTGGGAAACACAGAAAAGTACAAAGAAACAAACAGTCACCATAATTTATCATGTAGAGCCAACCGCTGTAACCTTTGGCCAAGAAAGATTCTATGTTCAATAGACCCAGAATGGTTGTGGCTAACAATCTCATGAAAGCCAGAGTTCAAAAAGAAGGTCCCAGCACCATAAGACAAAGTGGAGTAGGTAGAAAGTTAGAGACCACACACCAGCACCCCCTGACAAACAGGATGAGGAGGAAACAAAAACGTGGTCAATGACTTTTTTTTTTAAAAACACACTGTTGGACTTGACAAAGGCAGAGCTCCAAGCAGAAACACAGACACCAGCTACGGGATGGGCAGATCCAGTTCTCTTGGCTCAGATAAGCTTCCAGCCTTGACTTGTGACCGACTCTGGACTGTCAGAGGGCGTCTGGAAAGGGAAAATGCCAGGGTACGAAGCATCATCATCAGACACCACCATCCCCTCCCCCACCCCAACGTTTCCCCTCGGATTTCCACTCAAGCTGAACAGACACCCTTGGGACATTCTGACCCGGAAGTGTTTGTTTAAATACCAACGTAGGAGTTGACTGTGGGGAGACAAAGCCCAGAAAGGAAACCAGCAAGAACTTCAAAAGCTGGTTCCATTTTAAGCTCGGAAGGAAATTAAGTGTCTCCCACGGTGGCACGAACAACTTTTCCAGGTAAAGGTGATGGAAACACCGGGATTGTGGAGAACTTCCCACCCAGCTGAAGTTCTCAAACTTCAGGAATGGTCAGAGAGGGTCATTCAGCACCTACTCTGTGTTCTGCAACTAGTTTAAGGCAAGGGATTGAACTTTTCGCGCAGGGGCCAGAGAGTAACCCTTTTAGGCTTTGCAGGCTGTCCCCGAGGCCCTGAGGCAAGGACTCAGCTGCCCAACGGTACTGCAGATCCGGCCCGAGACAACGCATGCGCGACCCGAGAGGCCGTGTGCCAGGAAAACCTGACTTTCCGGACGTTTACGTCTGAATGTCATAGAATTATCGTGTGACACAAAATATTCTTTTGATTCCTCCCCCCCCCCAATCATTTAAAAACATAAAACTCTTGTCAGTCTTGAAATACACAGCAGGCTGGATCTGGGCCAAGGGCTGGCCCAGAGTTACCTGGCCTTTGGTCCAAAAGCACTTTCGGCCCTAAGCTCACATTCTAGCAACAGAGATAAGAGCGAACTAGAGAATCGGGAGGCGTGTTCACTGGAGACTGTCAGTTTAGAATGGGGCAGTCCAGGAGCTGGAAGAACTTTCGGGGGCCAGCAAGTCAGTTGGGATTGGGGTGGGGCTGTGGGGCGGAAGGGGACAGGGGCACAGGGGACTTCCCACAGGGGCCGGTACCCAGGCGGTACCTCCATGGAGTGGGCTCTAGCATCAAGGGACAGAAGGGTGAGAAAACGCCTCCCTCCCCAATTATGCGCGCTCTACTTTCCCGTGAATCAGGCCAGTGAGAAAATTTGCAGCGGCCAAGTCAAATGTAATTCATAAGACTTTTTTGCTTTGTTTTGTTTTCCCCTTGCATAAAGATGAGGTCCAGGTCCTCCGTGGGCACGAGCGAAAACTAACAACTCTCAGATCACCGGTACTCGGGTAGCCGGTCTTTGTTTACCTGTGTGTGCAGAGGCTCTTCTACAAATTCCAGCAGCCCGTTCAAAATAAGCCTGAGCTTGGCCTTGATGGATTTATTGCTAATTTGCTGCAGGCACAGACCTCTTGTACTGAAGGGGGAAAAATACCAGTCCCTCCTCAGCTGCTTGCCCCAGAGTCCGGGGTCTGCCTGGCAACGAGCCTCTTTGCTCCTTCTCCAGCTCCGGGCCTGACACCACCTTGCCATTGAATAGTCTTGGGGAAGAGTTCAGCGCAGGGTTTGCACTTTCCCAGCCATTAGCCAGCTGCCAACGCATTTCATTATCGTAGGAGGGTTTTGTACATCAAAGCGAGTCCCAGACAGTGTGATCAAGTGGAAGAGTTCCTAGTCAACATTCTAACTTGCAGCATTTTGTTTTCATGGTTATAAATGCCATCTGGTACCCAGGAACAGCAAAGGCCAGGGATGGAAAAACCCTGCCGCCCTGTTTTGCTTATTGATGTAACAGTTAATCCTGATAAAGACCAAGGCCTCAGAACGACTGCCCTGTTGTTATCGTGCATATCTATTGTCTGACACAGGCCAAGCTGCTGGGACCTGCAGAAGTGAGGTTGCACAGGGGATGGCCTGGGGGTGGGGGTGGGGGGTTGAATATCCAGGAGGGAGGAGAGAGAAAGGGACTGCGTTTATCTTTTTGTTTGTGTAATTGCTTAGCAAACACACACACACACACACACACACACACACACACACACACACACACAAGCTGGGATTTAGAGGCTTCTCCTTTTCCAGCTTCAAGACTTTCCAGGGAAACATCAAAGACCTGGCTTTGAAACCCCCTAACAGCTTAATATCTTCTCCTGCACCAACTTGCTTTCAATGATTTAGGAAAATCTCTCTGGACCTTGGGTTTTAGATCATAAACCACCAACTCTCCCCCCAGATCAGAGACTGATTTCTGGTAACAGATTTCTCACTGAGTCCTTCATTGCTGTCTTACAATGACCGAGGAAAAAACTCTCTGAAATGACAGCTAAGAGGGGATCTTCACAAGCTCATCTGTGGTACCCTTCCTACTTTTCTGGGCAGTTGATTTTCAATTGACAAATTAGGAACGCGAATACTGTGAGCATCTCATTGTTTTTACTTTGACATCAATCTCCAAAACATAGAACAAAACACAAAATGGACAATCTCCTTCTCTGCTGAAATGAGGGCAAATGACCGGGCTTATGGTAATTTTTTTTTTTTTCCACAGTCTCAGATGCAGTTGCCTCCATGCACTGCAACTGTTTACAAACTCTTCAATGATTTTCCCACTCATTACACAAACTCCTCCCTCTTCCTATCTTCCTGCCAATCTCCCTCTCCCCCACTTCCCTCTCTGCAGGAGGGAGAGCCTGAAATTGCGAGCAGGACACTTCTCTGGTTTATGTTCATGTCAGGGGATGATTTTGCAATTGCCACATAAGCAATTATGTAAGCTTTTCAAAAGCATGGAAAATTTCTAGAGGAAATATGGGCTGTACACAGTTGCAAGGCTCGAGATGATTTTAAAAATAAGTAGATAGATGTTACCCAAAGACCAACCTATGGTTCAAAATCTTCTCGGAAAATCCAACCTGATTTCTCTTCTTCCACTGTTTTTCTCTTCACTGTCATAAGCTGTAGTAGAATTATAACACACATAAGGGTCTGAGTTGCTATTTTAGGCTGGCATTGAAATCAAGGTCAGAGAAATGAAGTCCCTAGCAGCCAACACTACAAACGAAGTTCTCCGACCTCAAATATCCTCAATACTATGACTGTTTTACTCACTTCTTTTCTCCCCATACGAATCAGTGGAAAAGAGACAAACCAGAAGGGAGTATAATTGAAATTTTTGGCAAAGTGAGATAAAAGAGTACATGGTAGCCTGGTTTCCCAAAGCTGGTGGTCAGATGTCAAAACTTGAATTATTCATTGATAATATAGGCTTCACACTTCACAGTTTATAAAAATGCTATGAATCTCTTGTTATAGAAATAAAGGTTTGCTGGACAAAATTTTCAAAATCATCTTTTATAAGTGAAGAAACATTACATCAACAGTTCAAAGGAACTTAGTTAGTGGCAGGACTCAGAATCTAGGACTTCTAACTATGAATGGCTATTAATTAATGTATTGCTTTTACCATGGCAGGCATGCATTCATTCATGAATTCAACAAGCACTGGTTGACTGCCTACCATGCACGATACAGTAGCAAATATTGAGAATACCTTTTATAAGAGTAAATAAGAAGAGATGTCTGATCTCGAGGAACTCAAAGTAGTGGAGATAGGCATATAAATTAAGAATCTCAAGAAAGAGAGACAGATACTAAAATAGAGAAAGCAGTACAAAGGTGGCAAATAGAAAACAATAGATCGGTTATATCAGAAAATACCATCACTGTTCTGGCTTTGCAGAATAGTGACTTGCTCTTGTGTTTAAGAAGTCAAATAAGGGTGCCTGGGTGGCTCGGTCATTAAGCATCTGACTTTGGCTCAGGTCATAATTTCAGGGTCCTGGGATCGAGCCCCGCCTCGGCTCCCAGCTTAGCGGGGAGGCTGCTTTTCTCTCTGCCTCTCCCCCTACTGATGCTCTCTCTTTCTCTCTTTCTCTCAAGTAAGTAAATAAAAAAAAAGTCAAATAAGTCTTTGTTCTTAAATTACCCTAGAAAGAGAATCAAGTACTTGTGGCATGTCTTAAATTCCACTTTAGGTAAAACGTAATCTGTTTTATGCTTCTTCTGATTATTCTGGATTTGTTCGTGCATAATTTTAAAGAAGCAGGGTACTGTGGTTTTCGCATCCAGATTGTT